ATATACAGGTCTACATATTGAGTCCCCCCGAAAAAAAACCCAAAGCCCCTTAAAGCTCCAGAATTTAAGGTCCCAACCATGGGCCCTCAACATGGACCCCTATCTCTTTCCTGGGTCCTCAAATCGGCCTTGTGGAGGTTTATAGGGTATGTAGTAGGTATATAAAGACTCTGGGATTATGGGCCCAGACTGGTTCCGACTCTAAACCCTCAACCCTAAACAAAGCCCTATATGGGGGTTTGCCAAAATTAGGGGTCCTTTGTTGGGGGTCCCAATAATGAGGATTATAGTATTTTGGGGTCTAAATTGGGGTGCCCTATTTTGGGAAACTACCATATATCTGGCCCTAAACCCTAAACCCTCAACCTAAAACGAAGCCCTATATCTCTTGGCAGGACCAGTGCTCCTACACAAGCGTCCTCCATGACAACTCGGCCTCAGGTCTCGATGTTCGGAGCACCTCATGGGTCAAGAGGTTAAGGGCTAGTTGAGGGTTTAGGGTTGAGAGTTGAGGGTTTAGGGTTTGGGGCCAAGTTTAGGGTTTCGGGATATGGTAGGAAAATATTGGGCAGATAGCCACCAGGGTCCTAATATTCTAGTATGTTCCTGCTATATTCTTGGGGTTCCCTGTTTGGGGTTCCCATTAAAGTCCCTTTAGTTAAGGGCTAGTTGAGGGTTTAGGGCGCCTGTCTTGACGATTCGTGGTTAAGCCTGCAAGGCTTAGGGTTGAGGACTTGGGGATTCGGATTTTGATCTTAGGGTTAAATGTTTATGATGAAGGGCTTAGGGTTTTCAGGGCTTAAGGTTCAGGATAGAGCTTTGGGTTCGCAGGGTTTGGTGTTTTCAGTGGTTAGGGTTTAGGGCTTCGGGTTTAGAGTGTAGTCTTAAAGACTTGTAGATACTTGTGTAGTCGGGAGTTTGGCAAGCGCAGGGAAAGGAGAGTCATGGGGGCTTGTTCCGGGGCTTAACGATTCAGTGTCTCTTGGGGTTTGCAGCCTGGAAGCCCTAAACCCTAAACCCAACCCAAAGGGTCCAAGGACCCTATTATTAGGGCCCAAATGCCATTTACACGATGGTATCTGGGCCCTAAAACCCTATTATTATTGTCCTTGGACCCTTAGGGAAGCTTAAAGATTCCGTTGCTTGCTGGTGAAGTTCTGGGATTCCTGTTGTGTCACACTTGCAAGAGATGATTCGAAAATCGATGCAAGTCAGCGAGTCTGTAGCCACTACGCTTAAGGGTTTAGAGTTCAGGCTTCAGGCCTCGTTTAATTTAACAGCGTACAAGTGTCTATATGCACAGATTTCTTGTCATGTCACGTGGGGGAGTGGTTTAACAACGCGTATACAATGGCCACGGAAAACCCTGTAAGTGCCCTTACAGCCCTTATCTATCCCCAGCACCTTTTGAGGTTCCTTCTTTTGGAGAAAGCTCCACATGGTAGTTGTTAAAATACGTGTCCCCAAGCTGGTAATATTCCCTGAACCCCAAACTCTAAACCCCGGGATCTTTTCTGGGTTGGTCTTTGGCTTACTTGAATATTTTCCTTAAATGGTTTCGTAAGTACCCTATATACTAATATATACTTTTCAAAGGGTTACAAAGGCCAACGAAGTTTTAAGGAAGTGTATGCCAAAATGGCCACCCTTTCAAAATGACTTTTAGAGCAACAGGGCTTGGGGTGCGAATGTTTTTTGGGGGGCTGAGTGTGAAAGGCCTACGTGGTGTGGACCTGAGGACCTTTGCTGCCAAGTGTCCATATAGAAAGCAGGACATATCTTGGAAACCCTAAACCGTAAACCCTTAAAGATTGCCAAGCGCAGAGCACATCTAGGATACAGGTAGGGCTCTGAGTACAAGACATCCCTCTCGAGATCAAAATGAGACCCCCCCCCCAAAGTCCTAAGGAATGGTAATAAACCTTATAACATCCCAAACCCTAAACCATAACACCTAAATCCCCAAACCGTAGAACCCTAAACCCATAAACCCTAAACCCTCAAACTCTTCATTTGGCTGCTCAAAAAAGCGTATTCCGCGCCCACCGCGCCCCGGACTGGAGTTCTCCGTTGGAGGCAGAAATTGGGCCGAGCCTTGGAACCCTATAATGATCAAGCCTTCGGGTTTGGGGTATAGGCTGGGAGAGGGTATTTAGGGTTTAGGGTTTTAGGGCCTTAGGGTTTAGGGTGTAGGGATTAGGGTTTAGGGTTTACGATTTAGGGTGGATACTATAAATCTCGCATGACCTTAAGTATATTATGTATTGGGAATGTATGGTTCTATAGTATAGTAATTAAGGTCATGCAGATTTTTTGAGATTTACCGTACTTAGGGCTTTGGTTTTGAGTTATGATGGGGTGGTGCAGGAGAGGGCATAGGAACTGGGGTTGTCGATGGAGGAAATCGTTGCACCACTCAGGACACATTTTTTCTGTAATTCAAGGGAGTTATCAGTAATCTCGTGCTCGTCCTTTAGTCCCCGACAACTACTATACTTGACGTTTTCTAGTCATGCTTTACCCACACCAACATCTCATGGAACTTCATGTAACTAGCTAGTTGTCAACAGGGATGACCGTTTCTGCACGGTCCTTTTTGAATTCCATGTTATTGCAAGGAGAAATGAAGTAGTATATGGGGGGTAGGGGTTCCCTACGCTCCCAATCATTGAATAATCGCAAGCTTTCCCTAAGCCTATACTACAACTACCTCTGCCCAAATCCCAAGTACCTAACTCTTGGATACTTGGACCCTAAAGGGTATGCAGGGTGTAAACCCTAAACCCTAAACCCTACCCTAAACCCTGGAGGGGTCGGGCTTAATGGTGTTTCGCATAGTTGGTTGTAGGCAGGGTTTTAGGCCCCTTCTTCGGGCCCGGGAACCGCATATAGGGTTTAGGGTTTGGGCTAGTTAGGAGGAGGGCACGGACAAGGGGTTCCTTAGACCCTGACCCTAAAGCCAACCACATAAACCCTAAATCCTAACTGCTGAAGAGATCCTAAACCCATAGATTCCCACAAAAACCTTAAAACACAACCTCCTAATGAAGCTCTTCAGCCTCAAACCTATACCCTAGAACCTGATGCTCTCGATCCTAGATCCTAGCAAAAATCTTAATCCTATGCCGTAACTTCCAAGAAATAAGCCTTAGACCCTAAACCATGTACTTCTATCTAAATATGTACCCCCAAATAGTCCCCAATGAGCCCCCAGCAGGGACTCAGTCCTCAACCCCAAATCATGCACCCTAGCTAAGGGTGCCTTCAAGTGGAAGCTCACCGAGCCATTTGAATGGCAATGGCCGCACTTGCGGCCATCGAGGCGGGCGACGAGAGGGTTTAAGGTGTTAATGGAGTTTAGGATTTAGGGCTTATGGTACTGTGGAAGCCTCTTCAATTACCAACATTTTAAGGTGTTTAGGGAGTTTAAGGTTTTGGGCTAATAGGGCTTGAGGAACTGTAGAAGCCTTACTAATTACCAACAGTATGGTCCAGGGTTCTTTGTATAGTTATGGTTCAGGGTTTAGGGTTTAGAGTTTACAATTTATGGTACGAGGTACGTCAAATAAGTTTCAAGCACATTTAAAGCTGTGTGTGACATCCAAGTCCTACGGCAACACCGCGCACATGACTAGTTGTGGTGCAGCTTTGCAAGGCTAGGTCTTCGGCATCTAAACCCTAAACCCTACAGTAAACCTTAAATCCTAAACGCAAAGCCGTAAATCCTAAACCCTAAACCGCGACCAGCAGCAAGATCAGTAGCTTCCCAGTCTAGCGCAAGTGAACCGACCGAAGACGGCTGTAAACCCCAAAGGTCAAAATCTGGTACATCCTGACATCTTCGCGCCACAGGAATATCCTTTTGAACCGGATTAAAGACCGTTGCCACATAATTCCATATACATCCTCAAACGGTTTGAGACAAATCCATCTGGAGTTTGAGATGCCAACCCTAAACCCTATAAACCCTAAACCAGCAAACTCCTGAAGCTTGACAATTCTAATGCCACGAATGCATCTGAGGAATTTCAGCTCAAGTCCTGCTCATGTTCGTTTGAGCAGTGCCTTTCAATGTGGGTACTGAAGGCCGCAATATAGCGGCGGATGTAAAATCATCCTCTTTGGGTATGGTCGTCTACGAGAAGAACATAATCTTACTTGGCCCAACCAAAACGACCCCTTTCTAAAACATGTAGGTTTTCTATAAGGTGATATTTTAGAGTATGTGACATCCAAGCAACGTGTCGCCTTGCAAAGCTGGTCCCAATCACCTGCCCCTGCTGGCCCTTATAAAGTATTGGAATATTTCACTAATACATTCTTTGGAGAGGATTTGGGGAACTCTTTCAAAGACATTCTTTACCGCACAACCTGAAAAACCCTTCCCAAGAAGCTACCTCCGCCTTGTTTCCTCGGTCTTCTGTGGCTCTGCGTGGAAGTGCCCGACATCTTCATGGACACTTGGCATGCTCCGGGCTGAGATCTCTACAGCAGATGATTCTTTGGGGTTTAGGGTGAGAATTGAGGAAGCCTTGTATCCAAAATCCCCTTTAAGGTATCCATCCCCATAAGAACCATCCACTCAAAAGCGTGTGTCTCGGTCAGCTTGCCTTAAAGCGCCTTCGGCTGATATGAGGGTTCTTTGCAAGACACGAAGATGTAGCAGCCTCATGCCCACTCGGCGCGACAACCTACTCGGTCTGCCTATGTAATCCTCCTGAATTTGGACTGATTCGCTCAGCGGATTTGTTATCCACTGAGCTTGCTCAGCTTCATGTTGCATGCGCATTGCGCTGTGATGGAGCATGTGGATTTTCGGGGTAAAACCAAAACGATTCTTCCCCAACCTTTGGCATTCCGCAGCTGCCAACTGATAGCATTTCAAGAACAGGAAAATTAAACTTGCAAGTCGCCTTCCTTGGTCTCTGCGAACCCAGAAACCTTCCCTGTACAGGGCACTCAGAAAACGGTTCATTGCTATAGTTCCTCTGGCCTGAGCTTCATGGTGGCTGTTGAGGTAAACACCAGCACAGCACAGAATAACAAAACAACAAGACACGACGTGTAAATGAAAGCCAAGCAACCACAGCCAGTAACAACGGGTTCTCGCTTTCTGTTGCGATAACCAATCTCTCGCAAAGAAACTGCAGGAAGAGCATGAGATTTGTAGACGCTGCTCCCTTGTTCCAATGCCCGGCGGGGAAGCTGTTGTCGGAAGAAATCCCGAGGGTATCTCTGGTGAAACCTTGGATGTGCATCGCAAGCCTCTTCGCGTGGCAGAAATCCCTGTATTGGGATGTCAAGTTGTCAAACTTCTCCAGCACACTCGCGCCCAAAATGAGGTTCATGTTGCAGAACACGATGAAACTGGAAGCCAGCCATGTCTTGGCCACACCCATGTGGAAGTTGTGCCAGATGTCCAGGCGAAAGTACTCCTCCGGGGCCTCGGGCTGCACCATTGCCCCTTCCAATATCGCAGGCCGGTTACGCCACGGTCGCTCCTGGAACATCGTGTGATGCCACGCTGGGCTTGAGCTCAAGTCCTCGAAAGGGATCGTCGCCTCAGGTTCTTCGGACTCACGGCCAGCGAGGCAAAGGTGGCAGATGCCACTGCATAGCGTCTTGGATTGTCCAGTCTTGGGCACACGGGCATAGCTCCGCTCGAAGGAGCCCAGCTTGCACAGGGCAACCAAGTCACCTTTTGTGCCCAATGGCACCAGCCAAATTGGATTATTTGGCCTTAAAGCATCCGCCACACCATCCGTGGCACAGTGGGCCAATTCCGAGGCAAATGCCCCTGCAAGCCTTTGAAGAATTTCCGGCTTCTTTGCATACACATCCCGTAGCATGACTGCGAACAAAAATTGAGTGCTCCAGGAAGGGCCTACAAAGTTCAGCCCCATTCCTTCTCGCTTTGTCGAATCCCGGGCCACATCATCTAGATAAGCCTGGGTCCCACGACCTAAGCAGCCATGGACAGAAAGCACCATGATAGCTCTCTGCTTTTGGCTTCTTCCTTCGTCCGAATGGCTCCAGATAGGCACTGCAAACGGCAGCTGAAGACGACCACACTCAGCCCTTCGGAAAACATCGTGTTCTGGGTGGAGGCGTCTGAAGCGCCTCCAAAACTCCTCAAGTCTAATTGTCATATCCCTCATAGTTGGCACGCCACAAAGCTGCTTCCAGAGCCGCCCAGTGTCCAGGAGATATCGAACCCAGTCACGAATTCTCAGAACAGGCCACCTGGTACCTTCCAAGCCAACGTCCACGTGGGAAACTGGAACAGGGGCTGCCAAGCCTGTCTCCTGAAAGATGCGGTGCACTCCTGTCTCAGCATCCCTGAGTGGGAGTGCAGCAAACCTCCTCAGGGCTGGTGTGCCTCCCCCAGGATTGTCTGCCAGCGAGGCGCGGGCAGTCTGCACGGCGTGGGAGCAAGGGACCTCAGCTCGAAATTCTCGAGAAAAACAAAAAGGAAAGAAATCAAACATTGCAATCATAATCATGTACACTTTGAAGTGGCGCATCTTGCACGCATGTCTCGGGCAAGGAATGCTTTCTGCAGCAGATTTTACCCCCGCTGATGTGAATCGTTTCGAAGAGCAACAGAAAAGGGCTGATGGATTCATCCAACTCTTCTTGGTTGGTCAGCCCGTCCCCCAGTTACATAAACATAAAAAGGAGGTCCCCCATTGTGGGTTCTATTGAGAGCACCCTCGCCTCCTGTATCTGGCATATTTCGACAGCCTGCTTGGTGCACGCAATGAGAAATTAGAGCAGCTTCCAGCATATGTACAAGTCCAAGGTCGTCCCCCATATAGACAACCCACATTTCGGTGAAACCCTTTGACGCGTAATCCACAAAACGACTTGGAGGGTTTCTTGTGACTCCTATTTTGAAGACACATAAGGCGAGTCCAATCCGGGCTCGGAATGCTTCTACCTGTCTTCGACAGTGTGTTAAAATCTTGCCGCATATAGGCTTAGGAAATTGGGATCTTGGGACCCGGTATAGAATCCCAAACTGACGCAGCTCAGACCACACATCCTTCGAGGGGTCCAGGTCTTCGAAGCAGTTCCCAGCTAGCTGAATTTGCGCCATATCCTAGGATCAATACTTATATATATGTCTTTAGAAGGGGAAAAAAGGAAATCGACCATACTTCAGGGCATATTCTACACATACGGGACTTGGGCTTTGAAAACTTAAGGACTCCCGGTTTCGCCAAGGTGCAATGGTCGATGCTTTTTGCTTGGCTGTGTCCAGCTGGGAGCTTGGCTGGGCATCTTCAGTAGGAGGGCAAGACTCGCGGCACTTTTCCAAGTGGCGTGTTCTACCATGAACTGTCTGCAAATCATCAGCTCGAAGCCTCCTCGGATAGGAATATGTAGAATGTAGTGTGTGATAGAAAACAGAGGCCCACGAGGCCTAGAATCCCTAGAATCACAATGCAATATTGCATTTATAAAACCAGTTTCTACACTTTGTGGCATCCAGGGTTCTTCGTTGGGGTTGGAGAAGTCGCCGGATCAGTGTTGGGGATAGCGCACCGCATGCGGTTGGTATGGGGGCAACGATATGTCAGCAGTTCTATGAGGAAGGTGTCGTCGTCCATTGCGAACCAGGTGGAGTTGTGAATTTTCTATAAACACTTTATATAAACCCTATTAAACCTATGAACCTTATATAAACCTTACAAACCCTCCATAGACCCTATATAAGCCCTATTTATATATGTATGTATATAAGCCCTATAGATATATATATGTATATATATATATGTATATAAGCCATATAGATATATACCCCTTAACATGTATATACTCTGTATACACCTTATATAAGCCCATGTAAACCCTATATAAACCGCATACACTCTATAACCCCAGAAACTTTATGGCCCTGAGCCCCTACAAAGCTGTAAAACCCCATAAACCTTTTACAAAACCCTCTAAACCCTTGTAAACCGTATAGAACCTAAGAAAGTGTAGGCGCAGGTCTTTCCCAACATTCTGGATTCGTAGGATGTCTTATAATTCACACAAACCTCCAACTGCATGCTTGACTTTGTATCAGTAACAGAACTAGAAAGTGTATGTACAAACATGCTGGATGCAATCCAAGACCAGTACCATGGCCAGCTAGTGTCTTAGGAATGACAAGCCAACAATTCTTTTCTACCCTTCTAGAAAATGCTGCCAGCCAGAACCCTGCCCAGCAATTGTCAGCAGCTACGTCAATGTTGTTTTGCAAGTAGCAGAATTCTGACACAGCTGCACTTGCGGTTGAGGTCAAGACCCCACGCGCCACGGATATGGCAAGTTGCTCGAGGAGCTCCCCCGGGATGTTGGCATCTGGCATCCAGGGAATGTGTGCTTAGGGGAATTAAGGTCTCAAGACTTATAGGGGAAGGTTTACCAGAATTTTGTGGGATAAATGTAAAGTAGAGGTTGGCTGTATTCATGCAGGGCTTCCGTTAGCAGCAAGTTTTCGGCCATGACGCGCACAGGGTTGCTAGGGCATCCGCAATTAACACACATCAAAGCCGCGTGCAAATAGTAGACGCGTGCATACACACGTGCTGCTAATATGCGCTTTGCGCAGTTGCAATCTGTCAGGTGTATAGAGGATCAAGCACACCCAACCCTAAATCCGAAACATACTGCATGCAAGTAGGTACCCTCCTTTCAGAGGAAGTGCATGACCTTTCATTTGATCACGCTTGCAAACAAGATCGGAGAATTAACAAAACAAGTGCCCACAAGCACTTGAACTCAAGATGCTGCATGATTCCCAGGAGATGGCTACTTCGTCGTCTCCAGCTTCTGGAGGTTCTTCAGGCAGGTCCTCGATGAGGCTTCGGTTTCGCTAGCCGAGCTACCCGTAAAAGCTTATATATCTCTTTGGGGCTTAGGTGGGATTATACTGGGGGCTGCTATTCGTGGGCTGGGTCGACTTGCGTGAGCAGATGCATATACTTCAGGATCGCTAAAGGTAGATGGTACGTGGCACTGCTGTTGCTTATAATAAGCTAGCCAGGCGTCAGGGAGAGGCCCCATACACAGGTAGGAAAGATGATTAAGAGGGTAATCAGGCCAAGTAATAATGATGGTACCTATACACTTGCAGTAGCTGGTCCACATTGACTGCCTTATTGCATCAAAGAGTCCTACCCTTGGTCTCGGCGGCGACCACTTTGCAGCACCTCAGCGAAGAACTCATGATTTTAGGCACTATGAACTTAAATGCTTGCGACGCGGGATTTTAATATCAATCTGAATAATGTCCCCAATCTGTATCTATCTAGGGCCCATATACATATATAGTGCATAGGCTGTATACCCGCAGGTTTGGAGAACTCTTCAATATTTCTTTAGGATGTCTGGAGGCTTGAAACCCGTGACTCAAGCACCCAAGCCCCCATCCTCCTACTTATGAGGCGCTGTACGTTCCCACGATTTAAAAGACGCATGCAAGCACCCATCAAGCTCGAAACCAAGCACACATTGGACGCCAATTTCGTTTAAGGGCGGTAGGGGGGTAATTAATATCATTTCCCGAAGCAGTGGTAAGAACAGCTACAACACACACATGGAAGTGTGGGTTGCATGGCACACGTATTCGGATATCACCACACTGAGTACTTTGGGCAACTCCCCGATCTAGGAAACCCACGCAACTTTCGTCTTCTCTATTTGCTCCTCGATAATGGCAATCAACCTCAGATGCGCGAAGGTGTTTTCTACATGGTTCATCGATGCCAGGGGAAGCTTGGATACGCAGGCGAACCAGCTGATAGATCCGTTGATTACTAGGATAGCTGGTTTGGAGAAGTTGATCAGGAAGTGGGCTACGAAAGCAATTGAGAGGGTGATCTACCTTTATTTGAATAATAGAATCAAGGCAACGACTTTTCGGTTCTCGGGCAAGTCCTTCTGCTCGAGCTTGGAGGTTTTGACTTTCACCACCTGGACATTCTCATGCTGCGTCTCGAGGGTTTTGACAGCCTCCTCCAGCGCCATGATGGACCTGGTATGTTGAAGTTCCACACCGTATGAATCTATACATTTCCTACTGGCTTATAGAGAGATTTAGGGAAATGTATTCTGAAGGTTTACAGGTTTCAGCTACCGGGGCCTAGACTACCCAGGTGAAATTGCGACACACAAACACACACATTTCAAGGTTTGCGTGTGCAAAATAGGTGAGCGTAAGCGCTGTATAACTAGCTAGCTTCCTAGGACTTTAGTGGGTTACCATTTCCTGCGTACAAGCAAGGTGGTCTGAAAAGTTAATTGAGTCAGTGACTTCTTCGCGCGGTTTTTCATGTCCGGGGAGACGTCGCGTTCCAGCAACTCAGCTTCCAGGTTAGCCAGCAGGTCTTGGAGCTTTGAACTCTTGGTGAGCAGGGAGTCTCCAAACTTGCTGAAAGTCAAATGCTCCTGTCATTGTTTCACATATAGCAGTATTATTCTACCCATCGAAAACTACTACAAAGCTAGTAGAGTCTATACAGAACGTATGGAAATCCAACACCTCCTCAGATTCTTCAGGCATGCATACACAGCTACTGACGATTCATTAAATTCATGGGACTTCAAAAGTTCAGGAATTTTATAAGAAGTGTTTGTGTGGAACTTGAAACATGTAGAGGGGTCCTGCTGCGCGGACGAAAGCTCCACAGCTTTTCCTCCTCTGCCATGCCCCGTGCCCTCATCCTCCTCATCATCACTGGTATCCGGAATCTGCGGCAGGTTCTCAGGGCCGGGATTCTGGCCAAGGCGCCCGAAATTCACCCGCTCGTCCACCTGAAGATGAAACTCCATAAGGGGCAGGGGCACTTCGCTTAATTGAGGTTCAAGGCTCTCTTAGCGTTAATTTGTTTTTAATAGGGAATGGTCGCATTGAATGCTTTTGTTGCAGGAGTCATCTTAACGTAGGCAAGGTCAGATTGTCAAAAGACAGCGAAGCAGTCGGGCAGCCTCCTCCCCCTCTTCAAAGCGTTCCTTCTCCTCATCCCTCTCCAACTTCTCATCTTCCTCTTCATACTCGACGTAATATTTTTTGATCTTCTTGTTGTACTTGTCTTTCCTTATAGGGGGTGAGCATGGGTGTCTGGGGTGTAAATCCAAAACTGTAGCTAGAGCACTTGAAGAAGGCAACGTGAAACTTGGTAGTTTGGCTTTTTATCCGACCAGCAGAACCTTCGGCGCAATGATGCAGGTCCATCCCAGCTGGCCCTAGAAAACTCGAGAGAAGTGCATGAATTATGCGGCTTCGCGCGGCTAGAGTGGACACTATTCTCTGCCTAGTTATAGATTCGCAGCACACCCAAAAATGGAGTCAAGTGATCCACAAGGCCACGATACAGCGCTGTCACTTGGGTCTGTAAGAGTTGCACACGCATGCTCAAGCTTTCAAGCTTGGTGTGCACTTGGTCCAAGAGCCACCCGCCATGGTCAAAGCGATCTTCCAGTCGGGCCAGCCTCACATGAAGCCTTGATATCTCAGCACGCGAAGCTTCCAGATCTGTTTGTAGTGACAGCACGGCAGCAGATAAGGCAGTCTTCTCGCGGACCATGATTTATGGTCAAAAATTCAATGAACCATTCAGCGGGGTACTACAGCAACTTCAGTCCCACTGCCATGATGAAGGCTAGCCAATGCAAAGGTAGCTACCAGCTAGATAGCTTCTATGCCAATGTAGGCTGTATAGACCAACCCGCTTTTGTCTTGGACCCTGTAGCGGCAGCACTGGGATCTCAACACAAGCAGCAGCTCTGGATGCCGGCCTGGTTGGAAAATTCAGCCTACTCCAGGATTGTACAACGGTAATTTGTGTGATGCGACCATCTAGCTGCTGAATGTAAGATCGCGCGTGTATAGTAGACCCCCCCCCCCTGCCCACAGCCCAGGAGGAGTGCATGCAGCGCCCAACCAAAAACAGATGGCCTTACTTTCATAAACTCAGGCCACCCGACAAACATCCTTGAACCCAAGACTGTCCTCATAGACCTCATGCACACGTGACCCTCTAGGTGCCTTTGTAAAGAAAGCCAGACTTTTGCTTATTGAAAACTGCCTTAGAGAATGATGCCTTG